TTATATGAACAAAATTAATACTGCAAATGAAAATGTTAATAACTCTGTTTAAATCTCATTTACATTTATTAGCTAATATATGTAAATTTTACATTCCAAATATTCATTCCAGAAAGCTCCTCTTGTCATATCCAGGACTGAATGTTATTGAAAGAGAAATAAAAGAACCTACTCACCCTATATTAGATGATAGACAATAATTACAACCAAATTTAGAAGCCAACTAAAAACTTCTAAAAATTAGCAGTAAATATGAGTTTTAGCTGCCTCCTGCCATGCCTTAAACTTATTAAAGATACAGTATATGGGGAAATAGTTTCTTATCAGTTTTGTTTCTTAAAACTCTGTTTCAAAAACCTGATGCCTTTGCTGAAATTAACATTAGCCCTCCTAAAGCCTTACAGCCATCATCTAAAACCACAGCTCTCAAAGTGTGGTCTTGGGACTCTCAGGACCCTGTATAGGGATCTAGGAAGTTAAAACTACTTTCAAAATAATACTAAAACATCACTTGTATTTTTTTACTCATATTCCTTAAATGTACATGAAGTTTCATAGAGACTACATAATGTGTCATATCACAACAGAGTGCAGAAGGTAATGTGAGAATTCAGCTGTCTTCTATCAGTCAGATATTAATGAGAATTTCAAAAATGTGAAAAAAAATACCTTCTAAGAACTACAAGCTTTATTAGAAGTATATAAAAAAGCACACACAAAAAAATGCCCTCATTCTTGCTAATTGTTTGTTTTATTATCACTATAGTTATTTTTAATAAAAATGTATTATGTATGTTAACAGGTATGGGTTTTTGCCATTTTTAGATTAATAACACATACATATATATTCAATTTTCCCAGATTCAATTACCATGATAAAGATATAAAGTATATACACAAACAAAAGCTCTTTTAAAAGTATAAAGGGGTCCTGAGAATGCAATGTTTGAGAACTACTGATGTAAAGTACCCATTACCTATTTTCTCTAGTTCTTTCTAGTCTTTGTGTTTGGCTTATTAACCATTATCATCCTTGGTATGTTGTTCCACTTTAGGTTTTCTGTTACTTCTTTACAAAGTCTAAGATATTGCAATGTCTTCTGATTCTTACTTGTGAACAGACAAATTAGTCTCAGTTAACAATTCCACCCTAGGAAATGATATATCAGATGGTGCTGGTACACAACAGACTTCACAGAATCTGTTCTGAAAAATGTCATCATGAAAGTCTAGAAGCTTTATTGTTAAAGAAAAAACTTCTTGGAATCTGAGAATTTTCATGTTGTTACTGTGTAAGATGATGAGTTTTCTTAAAATTATTCAGTCCCTTGGCAAACCAGACTCAATAGTGGGCCTTCCACAACTTCAATAAGGAATAAAGATTGGCCGAGACCATCAATGTGCTCTACTTGGAGTCTGGCCTTAATGACTCAATCAGAAGTCTTTCTCCACCTCTCAGCAGTCCTTAACACTCTTTTCTTGCTTCTCCTTTCTGAAACATTCTCTGTCTTTATAATTGTGCCACCACTGCCTCCTAAGTCAACTGTAATCTCTAATTACAACTATTTCTTGTTTATTTTTTGAACAAAAATCTTCCACTCATTTCCCCTCAGCCCTTCTCACTACCCACCCCAAGTGGTGTCCAGATATCAGCTATGTACAAATGACTCCCAAACCACAAGTGAGGCTTTGACTTAGTTTATCAGTACAAGACCACAGCTGTTAAATCACCCTGGATACGTGTATCCTAGCTCCTCTCCTAACATACACAACCAAAATCATTACTTTCCCCACAAATAGCAAAACTTAAACTGTTTCTCTTACTCTATTCCACTGGGTCTCAATTGCGTGTGATTTTGCCCCCAGGGGACATTTGGCATTTTCTAGAGACATTTTCTGTTTTCACAACCAGAAAATGGGGTTTCTAGTGGCATCCAGTGGATGGACACCACTGATGCTGCTAAATATCCTACAATATACAGGACAGACTCCCACAACAAAGAATTATCCGACCCATAGTGTTAACAGTGCTGAAGTTGCAACACACTTCTTTTCCCATCACTTCCTCATCTCCCCCCCCCCCGCAGACAGGCAGATGATCCACATCTCTGGCATAGATGTTGACACCAGGAACCTGTATAAGCTGGATTTGAAAGTAAAGTGGCTGGAGGTTTTGGAGCAACAGAAACCTGAATACAGTAGAACAACCTACAAGATGAAGGTGAGCTTGGGAATCAAATGGACAATGACTGAAATCAGTGTTAAAATTGTAAGTTTTAACTGAAATATCAAAATATTAAAAATTCTGCATTGAAAAGGGGGAGCTAAACCATATAAAAATTTTTAATGAATCAGGTTAATGACTGATTCCATGATTCTCTCAAATATCTCAGCCTTACTGAAGTTTAAAAATAATCATGAAAGCAAAAGCAGAAACTATTTTGATACAGAAAATGTCTTTGTGGATTACTGCTTCCATCCTCAAGTCCCACCTCTTGAGGAACAAAGGAAATTTGATGGCTGCTTGTTCCTTATTGCAGGCTGGTGAGAGGAAGTTTATAGGGATTGCCTAGAGTCTGATGAGTCCTATGTGTTTTGGAGACATAGCAGCCTATTACTTGATTCATACTCAGAAAATCTAGAGATTGGGATAGTCTGGCCAGCATGTTCAGGAACATGTTACTGCTGAGTTATTATCTGCTAATTTATTATCTGCTGATTTATTGTCTGAGCCAATAATGTATTTATGTTTCCCATGGACCAGATGAGGGTCAGACAGCATGTGAGCTGTATTAGAGCCTCTCCTATAAGGACCGCCTGTGCTGAGACCTCAGCAAACAAGAGTTCAAGGTGAACCAAAGAATTGCTAAGAGCTTCAGAGGAAGTAAGTGACCAGCGAAAATAGGGAAACTTTTAACTGGATCAGGAGAACTGTAGATGAGATGATTCACAAGAGTTTCCAATAACTCCACCAAAATGCCCACTAAAGAATTGCAGCACTGTTTACAATAGCAAAGACCTGGAATCAACCCAAATGCCCATTGATAATAGACTGGATTGGAAAAATGTGGCACATATACACCATGGAATATTATGCAGCAATCAGAAATGATGAGTTTGTGTCGTTTGTAGGGACATGGATAATCTGGAGAACGTCATCCTCAGCAAACTGACACAAGAACAGAAAATGAAACACCGCATATTCTCACTCATAGGCGGGTGATGAAAAATGAGAACACATGGACACAGAAAGGGGAGTACTAAACACCGGGGTCTATTGGGGGGGAAAGGGGAGGGCCAGTGGGAGGGGGAGGTGGGGAGGGATAGCCTGGGGAGAAATGCCAAATGTGGGTGAAGGGGAGAAGGAAAGAAAAGCACACTGCCATGTGTGTTCCTACGCAACTGTCTTGCATGCTCTGCTCATGTACCCCAAAACCTAAAATCCAATAAAAAATTAAAAAAAAAAAAGAATTAGCTTTTATCATCAGCCAGGCTCCAAGGGAGTAAAGTCATGTTACAATGAGAACAAAGGTACCAACTTTTGCATCTCCCTTTTCTCTCCTCTCTTCCCATTGGTCTAACAAATTGAAGGAAGAGAAGAAATGCTAGGAGTTGAGCTGCCAGCAGCCATTGCCAAGCAGACCCCAACCTGGGAAAGGGTAGTGGGAGAATGTTTTTATACTTTAAATCAAATTCTAAGTTTTGTTATTTGACTACACATTCTCTTTATCTAATTGAGACAAGTCATTTAAAGTGGCTATAAATTTTTCTCTTACTTAAGGAAGAACAGAAAAGTTATGGAGCTTGTCCAAGTCTGCATTCAGTGGTAGGGAAAGTACTACTACTACTGATCAGTATTAAAAGATCACTGGGACATGGTTCTTTCATAGGGTTGCTTCTACGATTATAGACCCTGTATGTAGGTACCTCAATGTTCAAAGCACAAGCAGTGAAGCAGTTTAAAATCTGTATTCAAATCAAGAGATCTGGCACCAATCAGATTCACCAACAACACAAATGATTTTAGGAGGGAAAAGCTAATGAAGAGAACAGGGACATTGTCTGAATTTTGGGAAGTCACTGAATGACCCCCTAGTGGGAGGGATATAAAAGCTGAGGAAATGTGCATATCACCCAAGTAGAAAACCCAGTTTCCACTCTGACTCCTGTCTCTCCTTTGCTGTCCATATGCAGGCAGTTGTCAAGTCCAATTGAGTCCACTTCCACAATATTTTGCATCAATCCCTCTCTGTTCTCACTGCCCTCCTCGCTTCTTTCTCACATTCTTATTCCTGGATCCCCTAGCTTGAACTTGTTTCATAAGATCTAACTGTCATCTTATCAATCTATCAGTCATTCCTCACTCAGCTTCAAGAGCAATAGATACTCTTAAAGCAACAGTTCACATATATCATTCCCTAGCTGGGCAACATTTTAGAGCATCTATTTTAGGGGATAAAATCTAAACACTTTAGCATGGCATTCAGCCTCCTTCATGATCTAGTCACTTTCTCTCTCTTTCTCTCTCTCTCTCTCTCTCTCTCTCTCTCTCTCTCTCACACACACACACACACACACACACACACGTTATTACCATGCTAGACTGCTTGACATTGCCCAAATAGGCCATAAATTTTCTTGTCACTGTGATTTTTCTCATATTTTGACTCTAATCTGAAATATTCTTTCGACTACATCACCCTGCATACACCTACTCCTGCTTTTGAAATCTTAATCATTGTTCTAGGCCCAGCTTATATTAGAGTTCTGCCAAACATCATCTGGTCCCCAAATCAGAATATTATTCCTTCTCTTTGTTCCAGCTGTTTCTTTTATTGCATTTATTTTCACTGCTTATTATAAGTCAGAGTATGACTTATAATATAGTACATCTCCTCCACTAGTTAGTAAATCTTTGGATGCCTTGCCTATAATAAACAGTCAATAGATGTTTGTTGAACTGAATTAAATGCTACTGACCAGCCTTGGGAGGTAGGAGAAAGAGGCCTTAGAAGCCGGCACAGGGATGTCAAGGAGTTCGAAGGCAGTGCTGGGCCTCTTGGCAATGATGCTGATGGCAGCCACAGTGGCTAGCACGCATCTGGAGCAATGGCAGGACCAGCAACAGCTTCATGTTGGAGTGATCAGAGACACTGAGAGACAAAATCAGAAAAAAGTAAACATTCATCTCTGGGGAGAACAGATTATTTTAACTGAGCAACTTAAAGCAGAAAGATAGAAGATGTTATTGGGAAAAGGATTTCAAAAAACATAACTTGAAATGAATGTGAAATATCAATGGGACAGATGACACTGTGTGTGTGTGTGTGTGTCTGTCTGTCTATGCCTGATGACAAAGAATAGTTTAGTGGTATCTTAATCTTTTTTTTAGTCACTTTCTTTTTAACTTGATGAAATAAAGGACAGTGGATCATATATTCTAAGTTACTGTTTTCAAAGTTCCTTATGTCTGAATAAAGAAGTATGGGAGTACAATCTCCTGAAGAGTTTATGCCTGTGTGATCCTGGTAAAAGCCCTGTTAAGTTCATAGTCCAGAGCTTGGATTTGCAACTGAAAAGCACTGCTAAGTCTGTGAGAAGGAAGGAATGGATAGTTACATTCATCTAAGTAGTGCATTTTTATTAGGAAACATTAAACTTCTTTACTAGGGAATTAAAAAAAAGACTTCAAAGTGGTGGAGAATAGTAGCAGGTGGCCTCAGCATGGGAAGTCCCACACACTGCTGCTTAGGTGCTCAGGAATTTGCAGAACCACGATGGTGGAAATTTGTTCATAACAAACCCCCAGCAATGAAACCTGAAGGAAAAAAAGTTGTCTGCCTCAACTTTGAAGTAAAAGCAGCCTCAAAATCAACTTCAGATCCCATCATTACTGTTGTGGGACTCAGAAAACAGGCAATTATCATACTGTGGAGCCTGTCACGGAATTAAAAGAAAAAGGTCTTGATCTCAGGAAGCAAAAGATATTAGAAGAGCCCAGAAAGGAAGTGGCTGGCTCTCTTGACAGGAGTATACCTTCTATCCCTGTAAAATCCATAAGCCAAGGCCGCAAGCCAGATGTGATTCCTGAAAAAGAAAAGTAATTGACTTTTCAGCTTTGAGCTCCTCTGACTTCACCCCATTGACAAGCTGATCTGCTTCTCCTCTGGATTTCTCTGCCTCAAGGACACCTGCCTCTCATTCTGCAATGCCAGGCTTCTTTTAGAAGCAGATCTGATTCCAGATATAATGGCCCCACAAGCTTTGTTCCATGGTGAGGATGAGATGGAAGGCAATGGAGCCACAGACCCAGGAATGGAGCATATCTACAACATTGACATGTTGCTTAGGTGAGCAGTAAAAAAACAGAGGATGTTCTTTTAAAGCAACTGAAATTGGAGGTCACTTGTTAGCACAGGATAACATATCCTATTTAACTGATACAGGTAGACAAAATCTAATCAATAACACATTTAATCAATAACAAAACAATCTCAGAGAAACTAAGGGACATTTTCAAGATGGCACTTATCAGTCAATTACTAGAAGGATAGTAGGATTCATCACTGAATTTTCTGACTGTAAGTGTAAGACATTATTTCATCAACTTTAAAGGGGAAAAACATTTAAAATATGTTTATTTAAATTTTACATTGAATACAATTGGATACATATACATATGTATGTGCATGCATATGATTGAAACAGGCTTTGCAAAAATTAGGTCAGTGAGAGAAATGTGGCATAGAAAAACTATGACAGTGAAAAAAAAAATGTGACCTAACTGATTTCACCTTGCTTCTAACCTCCAAGATGGCCTTGTTCATTCCTTGTTACAGGCCAAGTTAACTACAGGAGGAATTTATTTTATAGTTTAATCTTAAAGCAAAGATGATAACAGCCCCTTCCCAAACTATCCCTCTTTTTGCTTGGTGAACCAAAACCACATTTGTAAAACTAACAAATTAGTCACAGTATTAGAATTATGGGTCAAGAGTTATATAGCCAGAGGTTACAAGATTCATACCCTTCTCAATTTTTTATATAGATAACATCACTACTGTAAAACCTAAGATTGGGCCAGGCATGGTGACTCATACCTGTAATCCCACCACTTTGGAAACTGAAGTGGGTGGATCATGAGGTCAAGAGATCTAGCCTATCCTGGCCAACATGGTGATAACCTGTCTCTATTAAAAATACAAAAATTAGCTGGCTGCGGTGGTGCAAACCTGTCCCAGCTACATGGCAGGCTGAGGTAGGAGAATCACTTGAACCCAGGAGGCAGAGGCTGCAATGAGCTGAGATCACACCCCTGTACAGCCTGGCAACAGAGCGAAACTCCATCAAAATAAAAACAACTAACAAACTAAAAAAAACAAAGATTGGTGTTATATGTGGTTTTTAGAGTCTGAATTTGATGGACAAGTTGGCATCATCCAGATAAGTAACCCATACCAACAAACTGGCTCAACTGGTCATGTGATCCCACCCAGGAACTGACTCAGTGCAAGAAGACAACTTTGACCTCATATAATTTCATCCTCAACCCAATCAATCAGCATTCCCTATTTCCTAGTGGCCACCAAATTATCCTTGAAAAACCCCAGCCTCTGCATTTTTGGGGAAGCCAATTTGAATAATAATAACTCCAGTCCTTCCACTTGGCTAGCCCTGCAATAATTAAACTTTCTCTACTGAAATACCATTGTTTCAGAGAATTGGCTTTTTATCTGTGCAGCAAGCAAGAAGACTCTGCTGGGTGATTACACATACACACATATGTATAATTTTAGAATAGATACAAGATGCAATGAAAGTAATACAAATGATAAATTTCAGTATACTTATATTAAAATACTGTTTAGTTTTAGTGTTCTTTAGTGAAAATTTTTACATTTCTAAACCTAAACAATTCATAGTTTTACATAACAAAATGTCTAAAATTTTATAATTGTTTATGCATTATTAACTTATCTTGAGCCTTTAAAATACCTACTCATATTAAATTAATGGCATTTTCAGCAACCTGGATGAGATTGGGCACTATTATTCTAAGTGAAGTAACTCAGGAATGGAAAACCAAACATTGTATGTTCTCACTCATAAGTGGGAGCTAAGCTATGAGGATGCAAAGGCACAAGAATGACACAGTGGATTTTGGGGACTCAAGGAGAAAGGATGGGAAGAAAGTGAGGGATAAAAGACTACAAATTAGGGGAAGTATATACTGCTTAGGTGACAGTGTACCAAAATCTCACAAATCACCACCAAAGAATTTACTCATGTAACCAAACACCACTTGTTCTCCAATACTCTATGGAAATAACTTTTTAAAGTATCTCCTTGTTTAGAAAATAGATAGATAGATAGATAGATAGATAGATAGATAGATAGATAGATAGATAGATAGATTGATTGATTGATTGATTGATTTTGTTTGTATATAGATTTTATTCTTGACAGGAGTATGTCTTCTATCACTGTAAAATTCATCAGTCAAGACTGCAAGTCAGAATCACATCTGGCTTGCAGCCTTGGCTGATGAATTTTACAGAGACAGAAAGAAAATAAACTTAGAAATGAGATGTTTGGAAATGAACTTGAAACTTGGAAAGAAAATATTTGGAAATGTACTTGATTTCTAGTTAAGCTGTTTTCAGGTACTTTACGGTACTTAGACATCTTATATATTTGTGTCAAAGTTGAATGTATTTTAGAAGTATTACTAAAATAACAAGAAATGTGTTATATATTTATAATTATTAAATTCAATGTTATGTATATTATGAACTAAAATAGACTGTTTGGGTTTTTTTTTCTATAAACCTTTCTTAAAGTTTGCATTTTTGTTGCTGAAATTTGGGATGCTTTTTCTCTCCTTAGTAACTGTCACAAATAATACATAAACAAATGAATCTTTTTTTTGAGCAACAAAAACTACTTTCAAAAACATTAATTAAGTATCATTTATATTGTGCTATGCAGGCCACCATGAATGTCCTTTCCTTTTCTACCAGCAATTTTCATTTTCAGGGAACTGAAAACATTCCCTCTAGTTTTAATCTTATTCTTCAAGGACACTGTACAAAGACTGAGGAACAATCTAAATTGTTGAGAAGCCATTTAAATTCAAAATGATTTCCACACCTGAAACTTAAAACCCTAGGTGTTTTTCATAATTATTGTGTTTCAATGCAGAATTTAACCACTGTTGATCTAGGCTCCATTGTTAAAGTGGTTACTTAGATGATTTTGAGAGGAAACAAACCTTCAAAATAATAATTATCAAATAAGTAATTTAAATGCCTTACTACCTTTATTATCCCCAGAAATACCAGAATCAGAATACTAGAAAATTTTAAATGGGTTGGTAGGCTGAATTAATTAAGAATCTTCGACTGAAAGCAACAGAAAACCACCCTTACTGACTTATGAAAAGTTAATCCATTGGAAAGATACTGAGTATCTCACAGCATCAAAGAAGTTAAGGTCTTTGGAAAGACAGGAACAGGGAATTCTAGGGCTCCTAAAACCAGTAACAAAAGGATAGTCTTTCCAGGCCATCACCACCAAAATAAATTGATTCCAAATGTTTCTGTTTTTGTGACAAGGTCCAAATTCCCACAAGAAAGCATCTGATTCTTTTAGCCTCCGAGACATGTACAAACTCTGGCCAAGAGGAGGAGATGTGGTTCCTCCATTGACTGCCCCTCCGAGGCCAAGCAGGATGAGGAGGAAGGGATTCTCTTTCCCAGGGAACAATTTGGTATGGCCTTAGCAAAATAAAAAGGAATAGACGCTGAGCATTCAAAGATCAGATGTTTGGGCTAATGCCCTTTTTGGCCTTAGACCACCTGCACCCAGGTGAAAAGAAAAATCAGATGTCTGGCTGTTTCAAGGTCCAAATCTGCGTGATAACCTCTGTGGGTGGGAGCATTGCTATGCTCCCATATTAATTCTTCTGAGATACCAACAAAGTTTTGGAAAACAAGACAGGATAACAGCCAGAGTTGAGATACAGAGAAGGATTTTTTTAATGCCCCCTCCCCGCTCTCAAGAATTCATGTTTAGGATTTCATGAAAACTAATAAAAGGGGGTAAGTATTGAATTCCCCTTTACACTGGGTCAGTTTATCTGTACATTCTGGGATCTTAGCTGATGAAGCACATTAGCTAGGTGCCAAGGAAAGTGAGTTTAGCAAATTATGTAGCTATATTGCATCCAATCCTCTGTGGACTTAATC